AAAGTTCTGTGTTAATTTATTACAAACTGCAGCATTTCATCCGTGATGTCCAGGCAACAATGTTTTTTATTTCAAGTAATTTATAAGCACTTCCCAGAGCACTTAGCGGTGATGTCCTTGGCTGTTTTGCTCCCAGAAACGGAGTGTATATGTATTTACTGTGGGAATTTGTTTTTAATAAAACTGTTGTAAGGCATTTTTATTCCTTTGCTTTGTTACATTAAAAACATTCTCTGCATAAGTAATGTATTTTATTCCAAGTTGAAAGGCAGCAGATCACAGCCGGCAACTATATTGGGGAGTAGAGAATAATGACAGAGAAGTAATGTTTAAAGCAGAACAAACCATTTTCTGTTTCTTAGGTGTCTTCTCTGCAGAGGGGTGTCAGGGAAACACTGAGTAGATGACCAAGGGCCCTTGCAACTGTACAGGAGCCCCGGGACTCAAACTCTCCAGACTAAATTCACTCAAAAATTGAATAGAAAAAGGGAGACAAAGGTGAAGTAAATGTATATTTGTGCAGTTCATATGTTTGTCTGTGTGTAAATGTATAAGAGGATGTGGGATCAATGCTAGAAATCCTTAAAAGTTTCCACTGATTCTCCATATTTCCTACAATTAATTCATAATCCTAGAAAATCCAAAATTGGCCTTTATTCCAATTTTCAAGTATAACCTACAGCTGCTTAGGTTCTTATGTACACACAGACATCTACAATTTTAAATTTGTTTTGTTTTTAAATAGGGTCTTGCTATGTTGCTCACTGTGCTGTTCAACTTCTGGGCTCAAGTGATCCTCCTGTCTCAGGCGACCAAGTAGCTGGGATTGCAGGTGTGGATCACCATGCCTAGCAAGTGTCATTTTAAAAGAATCAGTGCTTATTTGGATTCTCTGTGATGGGATGAGATGTTGAAAGTTTTCAGCTTTGGTGAGTGAATTGTGGAGTGATCTAAAACTTACAGTGGTCTCTCCTCAAAGATAGATGTCTTGCTGATGTCCAGAGTCTTTTTTGAAATTTCAGTTTTCTAGTGGGCTTTCATCATTTTTCTTTCTCGAGAAGGGATGTGTTAATTGAATTTATAGCTTATCTATTCATCTGTCCATCCATCCATCCATCCATCCACCCATCCATCATGCAATTTTGTCATCCTTAAAACCTCTATGAGGAAAAAAATAATTGGTGCTGGTCTGAATTGCTGATGCTATAGAAAGTTGATAGATATTTTCTACATGTATGTATTTTAACAATAGAAATGCTATATATGGTACACCAATCATGGTGCTTTGCACACGAACACACTAAGGCAATCGTAGGCTCCAATGGCAAAGATTATTACAGTCCATGCAACCTACTGAGGCATAGGAGTTATATAAAATGCAGCCTCATAATTATCTAGACACATTTGAGAAGTTCTTTATAATTTGAAAATTGCTTTGACTTTTAGAAAGAAATTTGATGAGCAATTACTCTATAATAATAGATTTAAAAACTTATTATTTAAAAAAATGATGAGAGAACCATTTGAACAAATTGCCTTTAAGGAAATCTAGCTTTTTTTTCTTTCCCCTATGGCCACTAACTTTTCCAGAAATGAGGAGTAAATTAAAATATAGATTATGATGTTAATTTGCTATAAAATAATATTTATTATTTGTAAGAGAGCCATGGAAACAAGCACTGGCCTATGGGCCAGGAAATTGAAAGAAATCAGGAAGGAGGTCTAATAATAATTATATCTGTGTACTTGATGCAAGCAAAGTATTTCTCTTCTTATCCAATCCCTATCCCTAGTGGAGAAGAATTGATAAATACTTCCTCTTTTGTTTTATTTCCTGATTAAAAATCAACTTGAGGGCCAGGGATTAAGCTCAGTGGTGCCACTGCCTGCCTCACAAGTGCAAGGTCCTGAGTTTGATCCCCAGCACACACACAAAAAGTCAACTTGATTTTTTTTAAAGATCAGCCGTAGGAAGCATTCCTGATTTTATTTAACCTGTTTTCTAACTCCTAGGACTCCTTGCCAAGGGAGCAAATATGTGTGTGTATGTGAATTTGTAGTACTGTGAAAGTCTTTGAGGATCACAAATTTGCCATGGCCCTCGAGTGTCTCATCCAGGAAGTGGGTGGATTTACTGGGAACAGAGGAAGTATGAGTATTGGAAATTCGCAGAGCATGGATGTGGAACAGAGCTTTGGTCAGTGGGTAGATGCAGGATGGTCCAGATCTTCACAACTTGGTTTTGGGGGTCCAGTCCAAACCTCTCCTTCTACGGTTTCTAACTACTTAGATCCCTTAGAGATAAAGAAAGATACCAGATATTTTTCCATTAGTGAAGAAATCTACTTAAGAACTGATCACAAGAGAAAAGTGTTCAAGATTTTTTTTAAAATGAGAGAAATCAAGAAAACATAAAAAGATAACACATCAATTCGTGATTTGGCAGTGACAGCTGAACATATTTAGCTGACGGTGGAAACAATTATCTATCAATCAAATGATCCTCAATTTAAAATTTGTCCAAACAAATGTTTACCATGTCTAATGAATCTTAGTGCTTCTGCAGGGAATCTGTTCAGTTAGTCTTCTAAATGGACAGATCTCAAATATTATTTGTCTACGCAGAGTTTATTTTTTAAACCTAATTTAAAGCATCATGGCTTTAACAAGCTATCATGGTTAATCCCTGTATGCATAGTGGACCCTCAAGTTACAACTGGCCTGACATGCGAATGACTTGGGTTAATTAGGTTAATGGAAGATTCATCTGCCTTTTGTTATCTATAGCATGTACCCATGTAAGCATCCAGATCTCAGCTGTATTGACTTACAACCAATTTGAGTTACAACCAGCCCTTGGGAACCAATCATGTTCACCATACTATAGGATTCTTAAGCAGAAAATAACCTCAGTCCCCAAAATTGAAGCCCAGGGGACCAAGAGACCAATATTTTGTCTCCCTGTGGAGCAGCCATTTTTCAGCACCATTCTGTCTATTAGAGAGCTGATAGAAATAAATACATAAATAAAATAATGAAATTAAAGGAGTTTTCCATGTAAGGTTGGAAACTGTGACTCCCTTGTCCAGGTGTTTCACGTGGATCCTCTGTCATAGATGTACTATCCTCTTGTGACCAGATGCCAAGTACTGGAGACTGACCACCTCAGTCCCTGGCCCCTGATCCACTTCGCACCAGCCGTGTGGCATTGGGGTGATGACTATGTGCCTCATATACTCCATCAGTAAAACTGGGATAATAATTACATCTACTACATGGGGATGTTGTGAGGATTAAACATATTACATGATATTTTCTGTGTCAACAAAGTTTGGTGTATATCAAATGGCTTAGTGCTCTGAATCACTGCTGCTTCAAGGCAGAGTATTGGCTAATATGTCCACTGACACATTAACGTTCATACTATACCTCAACTTGTAGCTTTGCCCTTTTCTGCAGCAGTCAAGGTGGGCAAGCTCTTTCTTCCATTCTGAGTCTCCTCGGTCTCTTGCTTTCTCACCTTTTCTGTCTCTCCTTCTTCCTGAGCTTGTCTCTTTCTCCTGGAGTTACCTCTAGTTGTCCTCATGCTAGCTCTATCAGACCATTTAAGTCTGTTCATTAGCATATTCTTTACATCCCTCTCCCTTAGTAAATCTTATAAACAGAATGATGGTACTCTAGGGGTCACTAAAATATGATTAAGAGGTATTAGGGGGTACAGGGAAGTATTTAGTCTTTTATAAATCAGAAAAATAGAGTCTTTCTGGAGGAAATTGAGGCTTTTCATGTTTGGTCCTGTTATCTTCTTGACATGTTCAGGGCCCTCAGCATTACTCAAAGGGTCAGTGTACTTTTCTGAGACTAGTGCTTCTGCTCTTCATCAAACCCTAGGGTAGCAAGTGCTGGGAAAGAGGGTAAATGTGGACCAAGATCCGACACTTGAGGACCTGAGTCTCAGAGATTTGCTGTTTTGAGGGTTCTCCTTTTAGTTTCTCTTGATCTCATCACAGTTTTCTCTCTTCTCCACTATTATCTGCAGCTGTCAAATTCATTCCCACTCTGATGGGAAGAGCTAATCCAGTTTAACAGAATATTTCCCTGAAGGATTTGGGTTTGATAAAGTTGCTTCTAGACTGACGGACAGGGACAATAAATAGCCTGGTAGAATATGGCTCTTATTTGGCCCTTACATATCTTTAGTTAACTCCATAGTATGACACCAAAACACAAACTGATATTGACCACTGGTAGAATTTCCATAAATATTTAGGCTCCCAGGCCTGACCTCCTCCATGTTCTTTTGTGTGTCTGTACACCCTTGGGTTGGTGACAGTGTTGTTTAACACATATTCATTCTCACATGCCTGGCATCTAAGCCCAAAGTTAACGGGGCCTTTTGTCATTCTAGATACTTAAAATCTCCAGAAAGAGACAATTTGGCCCAAAATAACCCACTAGAGTATAGTGTTAATGGATTTTGGCTTTTTACTTTCCATTATTGCTTTTATTATAAAATGTACACTCATATATATTGTTTAATGTACATGTGTAAGTAAATGCATCTGTACTGAGATGCAGGCTCACACACTTATGACTGATGCTGTGCATGATCCAACATGGAGACCTTGGTTGCTACACTACACTATAGTGTACTTTGGGACAGTTGTTAAAAGGTGAATATATGTGAAACACATGTTAATTCATGAGTAACAAATGAGCCAGATGGAGCTGTGCCAAGCATGCCAAGAGATAGATAGCTTGAGGAGACAGAGACAAGTTCCAGGACACAGAGAGCAAAAGAAAGAAGGGAAAACCCATCATGGTCATGGTAACTGTGAATCTTAAGAAAATCTAGATTCTCTGTAATTGTTTCTCTTTGTTATAGCAAAAGTATTAAGCTGCCATCTTTTAATACATACAGAATTCTTGATATATCAATATGGAGCTGAGAGGGAGCTTTAAAACATCTATTTCCATAGGTCATTTTATGCAGTGGGGGAAATCAGTGTTTGAAAGCTTAAGCAATTTACATAATCAGCAAGATCATTTGATAATAAACATAGTCATGTTGCTGCATCTAGAAAAAAGGGTATAGTTCTTGAACGCCACCAATCAGCAAACAAGAGAAAGCTTTCCTTTTCTGGTCACAAACCCCAAGTGTATCCTGTATTAGAAGCCAAGTCTGGCCATTTGTGTGAAAATACAATCAGGTTCCTTGTTCTTCTGTATGTTGGCTCCAGATCATCACCTATCTGGTTGCCTTCAGGAAAGAAAAACTGAACAAGGAAAAAGCAAGGAAGGGCGCAATGGATAAGACCAAGGGCTTGGAGCCCAGTGAACCTGGTGCTAAGTTTATGTTTATCTGTCACTCAGGTATGACCTTGGGTGGGTAAAAGTCAGTTTTTCCATCTGTAAAATGGAGATAATTATAGTACTTACCAGGTTCTTGGGAAAATTACATGAGGGACTATAGGTAAAGTACATAGCACAGTGGTTACTACATTAAAAGGCTCAATAAATCATAGGTGTTTTGAGTTGCAGATTAGTTTCTAAATAGCAGATCTCAGGTGTCCATATGTAGGTCATCTGTTAGGGACTGAAGGCAGCAAAAGCTTCATTTTGAATAGATTCTTCTGTTTTGATGATCTAGGGTCGCCCTCCTTCATTGTCAGGAGTGATTTCCTGAGCAAATCCTCAGCAAGTTTCCAAGTCTTTTGCATAAGTGACATCAGGCTTTGACAAGACTGGTAGTTGAGGTCAAAGTCAGGGAGAGTCCAGTCACCTAGAAGCAAGATGAGTGATCAAGGATTGAATGAACAGGTATACTGCTTTTAAAGGCTCCTCAGCAGAGGACAGAGTCTATGGATCTTGGACTATTCATCAGTTTCATAAAAAAAGAAGTCTCGAATGTTCCAAGAAATTGGACATTCTATAGGACACAGAATGATCTTGGTCTGGCCAGAGTAGCTAGTCTTTGCTTTATAAGATTTTTAAAAATTTGAGGGGAGGAGTATTTACTTCAGTTCTGGTTACAAAAGATTTTTCACCTTACTTTTTGTTCTGTCCTATCTTTTCCTCAGTTTCTTTCCCTCTTTCACCCAGAACAGTTTGTTAGGAAAGGCCAAGGACTCCCATGATTCCCAGAACCCAAAAGAAAGGACTGGCCAGAGTACCACCTCTGAAGCCTCAGCCGCCTTCTGCTCTTCCTCCATGGCTCCACCTTGGTGTGCCACGGTCCTCTTGTAGAAGGGTGGATTGCAAGCTCCCTTTCCCTCATCTCAGTGAACAATGGTGGCATTCCCCTTGCTCCAGATCAAGTGCACAGGCTACAAAGCAGCTTTTTCTGCCCTGTCCATGAAGACCCATTCCTGATGTCTCACTGGCTCTGAGACCAGCTTTCCCTCTTTGTTTTTAGGGTACAAAGGAATGAGTCCAAAAGCCTGTGGTGAGGTAGGTCTGGTGGGGGTTTGACTTCCCAGGTCAAACATTCCAGTGGACAAAGAGGAGTCACTGTTGGGCTGTGGATGGGGTGGTCAACGCCAGCTCCGGTGAGTTTCCTGGTACCTGGTGCCGCCATGTGCTTTCCCAGATGCTGAGCTTCCTTCTGCATCCCCCCCTCCACACACCCCCTTAGTGTAGTTGCCATTATCAGTCTGCCAGAGGAACTTCTAAAACTCCATTAACTAGTAATCATTCAGGGCCAGTGAGGGCACCTCCACCACCCCAGGAATATCCAATTAGCAAATCATGATCGGCCCTCCAGTGAAAGAAGTCAGACCCATTATCTGTGATGTCCCCAATTAGAGTGTTTATTCATGAAAGATTTGCGCTGAGCTGGCCGGCCCTGAGGCTCCTTCCTTCCCCTGAAATTGGGCCAGATTAAGTATCTCTGATCACCCCCCTTCCCAGCCCCACTGGGGGTCCCCCAGGCCTCCCTCCGCCCTGCCCGAGTCTCCCAAATCATGAGGAATTCTGCTAGCAGCAGGATGGAAGAGTCAAATTCTTCAGGTCTGGTCATGCTTGACTTGAGTTCCACATTTTGTGTTCCATTTTGGGGGGTGGAAAAATAAATGAGTTGCCCCCGAGCAGGGCTGTGATTCAGTTAGTATTTATCAATCTCACTTTAGCAGTAAATCTGGCATTTATCAGATGCCGAGAATGCCCCAGGTGCTGGGATCTCACTCCTTCCCCTTCCTGCTTTCTCTCCTCACTTGCAATCAGTTATGTTTTAACTGCATAAAGACGGGGAACAAAAATTCATTGCCTTTGGAGTTGAAGTGATCCTTAGCGAGCTGGAGTTTCAGCATCCCCTTCCCTTCCATTTTCCAAATGAAGAAATGTAATATTATCAGGGTTGGTTGTTTTATAAACCTCTCTATTTTCATATAGCCAGGAATTTACCTCACTTTTAAAATGTTTAAGTATATAGAGTGGTCATGGAGAAGGAAACACGACCAACACTGCATTTGCTAGGAAGATGATCTTAGCAAAGACTTTTTATTCCTGAAAAACAGAGTCAAAGCAAAACAAAAATATTCGGATGCACTCAATTACCTTCTGCTTACTGGTGAGGTGGTATTGTAGCTCCCAAAGCATTTCGGGGCAGGACATATCAGCCTTTGACATAGCATGCCTTTCCCTCCAATATCAATGATCAGAAGTCAAATCCTTTCTCCACTGGAGGGGAAAATGATATCCCTCCCTATCTTTCCTGCTTAGACAAGTTGCTTGGGGGAATTAGGGAGCATTGCTCGCCACCAAAACTTGTGTCAGGCCGCTGCGAAAACACAATCTGTCTGTTTATATTTCCAGAGCCAAACATGGTGTTTTCTGTAATTCTGATTAGCATCAACTTGGCCCCTTTCTTGAAGTATCCTCTGTGGAAATGTTCCAGATAGAAATCTATGAGCTCTTATACTCAGTGTTGTGCTCCAGTTGCCCTGTACCAGCACCAGAGAGCCGATGGTCAAAACTGCAGGAATTCTACAATCTGGTGTTTAAGCACAACTGTTCTTACATTTTAAATTATATAAACTTACAATTAAATAAATAAGATGAAAAACAAAGGTAATCATATTCAAAACTTACCACTCCCTAATTATCTTACTACTTTTTACTGCTTGAAGTTGTTTGTCTCTGCTGTATCCATGCAGGAAATACTATCAAATGGCAACCTGCCAGTGAGAATCTCTTCCCAAGTCCATGTTCACCAGTGTCCCATTAGTAATTTCAAAGCAGCCTCAAAGGGAGTATTTATACCACAAAAATCAAAAACTCTACAAGCCAGGGCCCCCTCCCCACTCCTACTCTCAGAGCCAGTTAAACATTTACTAGCAGATCACTGGGTACAGTTCTGCCTGTTTAGTTGAGCCTGCAATCTTCAGAAAAAACCCAACTGTAAAGTTCACTGTTACTCCTCATTTACCTGGCATTGTTAAGCAAATGCCTGTTCTGTACAAGAGAATTTTACACCTGCACTGGAACCCCAGTCTGTGTAGTACTGTTTATTGGTGCACTTTTGCCTAGTCACATTACATATTGCCTTTTAAACAGAATTTCTGAAGTAATTTCAATACTCCCTTGAGCTAGAAGTGAGTACCACCAGACTTTCATGCTCTATAATGCTGTCCTCAGGGGTCCTGAAGGTATAGACTCCTTTCCTTTACACTAAATGACCTAGAGAGCTGTGGAGTTTTAGTTGTTGTTTTGGCTTCAACTGCTTGTTTAAGTTGTCTTCTGAATTAGTGAAAAGATGTCAGCTGCCATTGGTGCTTTTAATTAAGAATTCATGTTCATAGTGAAGGATTTAACTTACACATTGATCAAAAAGAGAATGTCCGCTTCAAACCATGTCTTATTTCCTGTTCAGAAATCACACTTTATTATATTTTGTGGTAGTTTCTTCATGATCTTTTCATGCAAAATATTTGTTTTAGTTTTTAAAATTTTGTTTATTAGTACATTTGCAGTACGTGTTTACATTCCTACATATATACATGTTATTACATATATAAGCCAGTTTTTATATTATATATATATATAGAAGGTTTACATAAATGGGAACCATACTGACAAGATTTTTTTCACTTCTATTTTAAATTTTTTCCATGTTAGTAAATTTAGATCTCTATTATTCTTTGTAATACCTGCAAGATCTCAAACCCTTTAGTTAACAAGTTCCCTATTAATGGGCATTTAGGCAGTTTCTGTGTTTTTTATAAGCAAAGCAATATTTAATATCCTGTTCACATTGCTTTGTTCATATGTGTATGTATGTATATATATGACAAATTTTACAAAGTAGGTCTTTCTTTCTCTTTCTTTCTTTCTTTGGCACTGGGGATTGAACTTGGGACCTTGTGCTTATGAGCCAGGTGCTGGAACCACTGAGCTAAATCCCTGGGCCTCTTTTTCCTTCTTTTCCTTTCCTTTTTGTGAGCATTGAACCCAAGGGCTTTGCACTGATCTATATCTCCAGTCCTTTAAAAAAAGATTTTTAAAAATTTTGAAGTAGGTTTTTACTAAGTTGCTTATTTGCCCAGGCTGGGCTCACACTTGGGATCCTCCCACCTCAGCCCCCTGGAGTGCTGGGATTACAAGTGTATGCCACTACACCCAGCTCACAAAGTTGAGTCTTTAAATCTTAGAGCAGTTGTCGTGTCTTGCTGCTTTTATTTTTCCTTAAAATAGTTCATTGATGTATGAGTGTAGTTTAGTGTTGTAATAATGAATAAAACTCTGATATAAGTAGATAATTATTATTAATGACATAATACAAGGACATTAGTGGCTGCCTGAGGCTGCTTAGCCACACTCTTCAGGATAAGTGGGTCAATATAGACAACTGCTGGTTAGAGAAGGTGAGGAGAAAGTGTGTGTTTCTTGGTACTGCCAGTCACCCTCCTCTCTAGGATTTTACCTTGCAGCTTCCTCCATCTGTCTCCCCATGAGGTCCTCGGTCCATAGCCTCAGGGCCTTCTCTAATACTTCCAAAATCTCTCTGGAATAGGAGACAGACCCAAAGTGCTGAGCAGCGAATAGCCATCAGCAGCAGGTCTCAAACAATGACTAGAGAAGGTAAATAAATGCTCTGCTTCCTCACAACTCATCTGGTAGCATCCAGAGTTCTGTGCTTACCCCATTCCTTAGAATTTTCCCCAAGCAACTGAGCTCTGTTTGCCTTCAGTGACAGCTGTCTCTAGAAAACATCCTCTGTTGGCCACTTTCCCATCCGGAACTCACATTTCTCCTCCTCTACAGGGACTTTCTGCACCTCCCAGATAACTGATCTGTTACTTGAACCCACATCTCTGGGATGCTTTCGGAAAATCTTGAACTAAGAGTATTTGTCTTCTCGGTGTGGGGATCATGGTAGTCTTCACCCAGAAATGAGACGTTGCTAAGCAAACAGTGCTTTCCCTCACTTGTTGTAAGAGATGAGTCTTTATGAGCTAATCAGGTTCCATCTGGCTGCCCCTGTACAGAACTTTGGGACCTATGATTTGATCCACAGAGTGTGCTGATTAGGATAATAATGTGTTGCATTTTAATAGACATCCTTTCAAGGAGAAAATCCTCATAGCCTCACATTGTCTTTTTGCCTAAATGCTCAATAGAGAAAGCTCACATTTGAGCCTTCATTTGGAGGTTGGTGAACTTGGGTGAACTTAGTGAAGTTAGGTGAAAACAAACCAGCTACTAACTACACACAAAAATTGTAATCTTAGTACTCCAGTGATCAGGAAGCCCAGATCCAGGCAGCTGGAAATTATTAGAGAAGCTTGTGCCTTCCTTGAGCTGATGAAATCTTTGGTTAAAACTCCCTTTTCTACTCTTGGGGCTTTGACCAGTCAGCGGTGACTGTCAACTTCTCCATTATTCCACTTGGAATTCCTTTTATCTTCTCCATACGCTTATTTCTCTGGCTTTAAGCAGCAGGTAGAGGTCTCTGACAAAGAATGCCAGATTAACCACCCAGTCACAGCAAATCTTTATTAAGCATGGCACTGGCACTGGGCTTCAGGTTTTTTGTGAGTCCTATGCATTGTTCCATTGAGTCTTTGGAGTGACCCTCAAATAAAATCAACAAGATGAGTACTATGCCATCCAAATGAAGAAACAGGCACAGTGACGTTTGGTAAACTGGTACAAGACCACATAATTAGCAAGGGGAAGAGTTGGAATTTTCTCCTCTATGGTCTAACTTCAGAGCCCAGGCTCTTCACCTCTTTAAGGACGTGAACTTGGGGACCAGACCTTTCTTGTCTTAAAGGCTTATTTAGCTGTGTGACCATAAGCAAGTCATTTAAAGTCTTTGAGCCTAGTTTCTCCAGTGAAGGTGATGATGTCCTATTGAAGTTGTTAGAATTACGTGGATGGTCAGTGCACAGTCACAGCAGAAAGTGGCACAGGCATCCTAGAAATTCTGTTAATATGGTTTTATATTGTTAATATTGTTTTATAGTCCATCCACACACACTCTCTTAGTGCAGTCATGCTGAACTGCTTGCTCCTCAATATACAGACCTGGACGATTGTGTTCAATCTTCCAGTTGCCTGTGTTGTTTTTGCCCTCTATCTCTGATGACCTTCTAACTATTCTTTAATGCCCAATGTAAATGTCACCCAACTCTGGGGAAACTGTAAATTCCATTGGTGTCACAGCTTCATCAGTGATTCCATCTAGCAGGGAAGTAACTTTCTGTTTAGAAGCAGAACGTCTGGAAGAACATCTTGTTGAACATCAAGAAATGACTCCTGCTCTTGATTCATATGTGATGTGGAACAAATTCCTTTATGGTTAAAATGAGAAAAATTATAATATCTGTCTCACAATAATATTATGAGGTTTAAATGATAGAAAGTATGTACAAACTCAGCATGAGGCTGGTAACAATAAATTTCAATAAATCTTATTGATATTATTTTATCAGTGTGATCACATTATGTTATTTAATATTGGGCATTATTGTGCTAGTATATGATTTTTTTTGAGACTAGAAAATAAACTCCTTCAATGAAGTAATAGCTTCTATTCCTTCTTTTGATCTTTGTGCCTACTTTAGTACCTGGTATGCAATGATCAATGTAACTTTGGATAGATAAGTAAGTGGATGGGTGGATGGTTAAATGGCTGGTTGGTTAGATAACTGCTGTCTGGATCAAAGAATGGATCAAAGAAGTGGGTCATGTCTGCTAACTAAGATATGTTGACTGTTACATTAGGAGAAGGAGAATATGGAGAATGAACCAAAGACAACAAAGGAGGAACAACAACCATAACAAAACCAGGAATGCTAGTGGTTTTACACTGGGTGAACAGTTAATTTGAATTGTTGCGAAGACATGTTTCCCTTGCAAACATTTGCCTTTACTGCTCCCCATCTCAACACATAGAAATACCAAAGTGTCATTCAGAGACCCACGGATCCCTACCAAGCAACCTGATTTGCCCTCTGAGTGCCAGGAATGGCTAGACAAATCTGGTTGTCCAGGGCTTCTGCTCAGCAAGGAAAACAAGGCAGAGCCTCTGTTTCAGGTGCTTTTCCAGATTCTTGTTAGTGAGGAAGCTCTTTCTTACAGCTTTACAAGCATGATTGAAGCCTACTCTGGTAGGAGATGGCTTGATCCAGCTGTGAGGCTCTTGACACTTGGTCTTTATCCATGAAGTTGCTGTCTGGGTCCCCAGTCATCAGATTCCTCCCAACAGACCAGTCTGAACTCTTACTAGTGCCTACTTTGGCACTTACACTCACTGGAGCTGTCTTGCTAGGTTTTTGTTTTTTTGGTTTTTTTTGGTCATGGAGACACAATACAATATGGGATACCGACAACTTCAAGGAGGAGAGGTTTATTTTTGCTCAAGTTTATAGCCCTTGGTTGATTGGCTCCAAGGCAGGACAGCATGACAGAGAGGTGCAGTGGAGGAGAAGGTGCTCACACCATATCAGCAAGAAGCAGAGAGCTGGAAATGAGATGCACCCTTCCAGGTCACACCCATTGTAACCCACCTCTTTCCACCAGTTCCTACCTCCTAACACCAAGTCTGTTATAATGCTCCTTAATCCAATTACCTTCCAAATACAGGAGTCTTTGAGACCGTTTTAGATCTAAACCATCACAATGATCTTTTCAGCATTCACTCAGATGAGTCACCAGCATCGCATGCACATACACCATCAATGATCCTTTTCCTTTAGCCATCAGTGAAGCATGAGAAAAAGGACTCACACTTACAAATGCTTTGTGTCATGTAAATTGCCATCCAGAGTGCCATCTATCCTACCGACAAGGTTTGTACTTGCCTTTTCTACAGTGATCACCATGCAAATCAACTGTAGCAATTACTTCTGATCAGTTCTCAAGCACATATTCATTCTAGCTGGGTGTGTATGTACTGAGTGTCAGCACTTTGGTGGGACCTGTGGAAACAGGATAGGACTCTGTGAGGCCAAAATAAGCTCTCAGTTAAGCTTTACAGGGAAAACCAAGGAGGGGGGATGATAACAAGAAGGAGGAGGAGGGCGGGGAAGGAGATTCTTATTCTCTAAGTCTTACTGTCTTCCAGGCTTGGTGAGAACAGTGTCATGGGCTGATAAGAACCAAGAGAGACTATGTAAAGGTGCAAATTTCCAATAATGAATGTCATTATATTGTATACCTAAAATGTACCAATGATTAGAATGAATAATCGAAAATGTAAAATAGGAAGAAAAGGTCCAAAGGGGTAGGGGTAGTGGGAGGGGCAGGGGAAAGGAAAGAAGGGAAAGGAAAAATGATGAGAAATGGAAAAAATGGAAATAAAGTCTTTGTAAATAGGGAAGGTTGGAGGGCGTGAAGGGAGGGCTGTGAATGGGGAAAAAAATAAGACCTAAGATGCATTATGTAAAGGTACAATTCCCAATGAGAAACGTAATTGTGTTGTATACCTACAATGTACCAATAAAAGAATTTAATTAAACAACAACAACAAAAAAGAATTACAGGCAGGGCTGGGGATTTAGCTCAGTGGTGCCGCCACCTGCCTCACAAGCGCAAGGTCCCAAGTTCGAATCCCAATACCAAAAAAAAAAAGAATTACAGGCAGGTAATGATGAGCTGTCTTTCCCAAGTCTTCTTTTTTATGGTGAAGACATAAAGAGGTATCTAGCAACTTGCCCCAAGTCCTTCAGCCATCAGAAAAGAGCAATGACCAGAAAGCCAGGACAGCTATACTATGTCCAGGGCAACTTCTACAAGGCAGTAGCTTGCTCCTCCCTCCCTCATTTCCTTCCTCCTTCATTTCCCTTTTCCTTCCATTAGTTGTTTAATAAATATTCTCATTAATCGAGTTACTAAGTACAAAGCAATATTATTTAAGGCATCAAGGAGATGTTGAGAGTGCTTGGTGGTTCAGAGCTGTGATGGCTAGGGAGTTCTAGGCTGCACTGGGGTGGCTGTTCTACCTGCACAGAGCTTCGAGGCCTGGCTTAGCTGTTTAAGTCTGGGAATCTGAGGGATTCTCCTCCATACAGTGGGGACATCAGAGTGCCTGCTTGAGAGTGGTATTTGTGAAAACCAAAATGAAGGAGTCAATAAAAGGCACAAAAATGGGCACAGTGTAAGCTCTCAGGAAATATTCACTACTATGATGTAGATTTATTATCATGATATACCCAACAAAACAAATCTAGCCAAGATATCTTTTCTATTTCAGAGTACACTAGGACCATTCCAATGAACCTCAGTTACAATTATTGCTTTTAAGAAGTTCAGAGACCAAGACATCCACATTTCTGATTTAAAAACAAAAACAAAACAAAACAAAACAAAAAGCCACTCTCAAGCTTTAACTTTACACAGAGCCCGAGTGAAGGTGTGTGAAGGAAAGCGACAGCAGAGATGGCTAAATGACAGGCTTGAGTGCCTGAGGACAGAATGATTGCCAGGGCCCGGGCTGCTGGGGGAACCTCTCAGCTTCTGGATGGTCACCGCTTCTGGGTGGGACTCAGGGTGAGTTCCCTGGCTGGGACCTGAGGTGAGGCTTTTTCCCACGAAGCACTCGGGAGCAAATCCTTAATTCTCATCTCCTCTTGTGTTGGCAAGGCAGGTGCGTGACAGATGTCTGATTCTCTAGGGTGTCTTCTTCAATGTTTCTCCTAAGGCCCAATATCTTGCCTTGTTCTAGAAAGTCGTTCTACATGAATATCTATATAGAGCAGAACCTGCCGCTCTGAGACCTCAGATTTTTCTTTTTCTGCCCAGACAATCTCTAGCTTTTATGTAAAACTAGAGGAGAATCCGGTGCTCTGCTTCATGGTTTTAACCTCCCTGCCCCTCTGGCTGGCTCTTTCCTTTTCCCATACAGTTCCTTGCTCATTGGGAAAGACCATGAGACTTTCTT